TTGTTTCAAGAATGCTAGTTATTAACCATTTACCCATCTGCCACTGGTTATATGTGAAATAAGGCCAACAACCTTGTTCTTTCTTTTAGGAGCAAGCCTCCACTTCACCCGTGGTGGCCTGTCCAGACATCTGACATGCCATCGAGGGCCATTTGAAGACTCTGTGACGTCAGAGCCCTAGCTGTGGGGGCGCTGGTTCCACAAGTCTGGTCTCCTCCTACTCTGCACGATTTCTCACCACACCTCTTACCCATCACAATGGGGGGATTAGTCCCAGCTCTTAGATCATTTATTCTAAATCGCTCATATTCACACACGTTAATTCTCTTCAGAGGGCTGGCCTTTTTCATGGGAAGCAGTTTAAAGAAGGGTGTCAAGTGGCAGGATTCCTGGCACTATCCTAGGCTGCTGGGGAAGCAGGGAGCACTGCTGGGATTTCCTGAAAGTCCTTAGCTTGGCTGCCATTTGCTCCAACGTGTCACCAATGATCATTCCTTCCCCGGCTCTCTGGGAAGAAGAAACACTGCTACTATTGCACATCACCACGACGGCAACACTCCAGGGACAAAGTCACTAGGTGACAAAGTAAGACATCTCTGTGGCCCAATAATACGAAAGCGCTTGTTGCAAAGCAAGGTTTCACTTGGCCAAACCCAGTATCCAATCCATCTCGTGCTTCTTGGTTGGTAAATATGCCTGTGATGGCATTCAGGAAACGTGCAGAAACTCGGGGTGGGGGGCGGGGGGGAATGGAGGGGGTTAGTAAAGGCAGATGGCCCGTGTTCCACAAACATCCTCCCCTTTGGGCCAGCCTGCCCGCTCCTCACTGCTGGGCTCCCCTTCCTCGGGAGTTCACTTCAAGGTGGAGAGACCAGGCTATGGCTGGATAAGCCTCATCAGCACACGGCCTGGAGACACAGACATTCAGACAACCCTCAGTCCCCGTGTCCTGGGTTCATGGGGACATGGTGGGCATGGTGGCAGGTCTGGACTTCCTCAGGTTGAAGACCCGCCGGGTGCGGGGCTGCATGGCTGCAGGCAGTCCTCAGAGGTTCACCTGCGACCTTTCACTCTGCACCTGTTTCTTTCCCAGCAGCTCACTGTTACATGGCTTCTTCTTTTCAGGGTGTGGTACGAGGGGGCTTCGAAACGTTTGTGGGAAATGTCATGATCTTTTAACTCTATTCTTCCAAAAATGCCTTAATGCTCCTTATTTCCGGGACTTGGCTGATCCAAATGAAAGCAAAGCAAATGGTTAAGAGATACTCATAGCGACCTTATCAGACAGGGTAGCACTGCCACTGCGAGTTTCCACGATTGTAACTCTTTGCAGGAATAGAAAGTCGCGTCTGTCTCCCTCAGAGTGGCTGATGGTCTCAAACTGCTGACCTTGCAGATTGCAGCTGAACGTGTAACTTCTACACATCCCGGGCTCCTAGAGATGGGACTGATTGTGTTTTAAGAATGTAGGGCCTAAGGACGGGAAGCAACCTAACTCTGAAGGCCCTAAGTTCGGAGCTTTACCAAGGCATCATTTTCCATATTCTCTGTCCATCCAATCTTTGGCTAAACAATTAAATCTTTCTGGAGAACTATTTTAATTTTTATTTGGTATCTACTCATTATTTTAAAAATAACAACACATCAATTTTTAAAAACAGAACCTCGGAGCTTACGGTCATAAATCTTTCTATTTCTATGATGGCTTATAGTTTACAGAGCTTATTGTCTCCGTTGATCCTGACACTAACCCTGGGAGGGTGATTTTGTCAGCCCAGCCACAGTTTCCAGGTCAAGTTCAAGCTCACGAAGACTTGGAGACATTCGCAAAGCGTCACAGCAGAACTCAGCCTGGAACCCAGATCTACAGATGAATTCCAGAGCTCAGGATTAGCCCCGAAGCCAGAACAATAAATCAGAACAAAGTAAAAACCCTATACCACCGCTCTTTGGAGAAGCACGCATAGTGAATTTGATCTTAATTTCCTTTTTCCTCCCCAAGGAAATTCTGGACATTCTTGTAAGGGCATGGCTTCTCACATAAAGCGTCCTCTGCAGGATGGTTCTGTATGTCGATGTCCAAATTGGAGAAGTATTGATCATGTACAGTACCAGGTAGAACTTGTCTGTGTACCAGTCAGTTAAGGAAAACATTTTGGGGGTTTTTCTTTTTTCACGACATATTGGTCCATCTTAAGTGATGTTTCCTTTTCCTAAGCAAAGAAAGAATAAAACACTCCTCCCACAGGCTTCTCCTGTCAAGGCCTAGGCTGGCCACGACCCCAGTGTGTGCAACGCTTCAGAGCTCTGAACGGGACAGTACTTCTGCAAGCTATCAAGGACTCCACCTACTCCTCCCCAATGGATTATCTTGTAGCGGACACTGCATTAAAGACAATCGGAAAAGGATCTATTTGGCGCCTTAACTAGGACGTCGGACGATAGTGGATGCTGAGGTGTGAGGGGAGACGAACGAACACTGGCTGTGATGTTTAACGTATCAACTTAGCGGGGCCATGATTCTCAGTGGTTTGGCAATGACGTAATGACATGTTTGGGCAGTTATGTAGTGATGGTGTAACTCTCCACTTTGCGACCTGATTTGGTCATCCTCGGTTTGCACCTAACACCAAATTTCACACAATGACCTGGTCCTTGGAGCCCATAAGTGAGAAGCGGGTGTCTATGGGTGAGCCTGCCATCTTCAAATGAAGTCAAGAAACGCTGCCAGCCAAAGAAGGCTGCATTCAGATATATTTGTATTTAGAAAGGTTTCTCAGGCATATATGAGAATTATGATGAGATCTGGTTGGGGACAACTTTCACCCCACCGATCCTTCCACCAGAGTCCATTGGGGTATATGTCCCATATAGTACTTCCCGAAAGCATTAGAAATAATTTAAAACCCTAAGAAATAATTTAAAATAATTTAAAACCCCTAGCAATTCAGCATGCATTCCATTAGCAAAAACAAATCGTTATCTACATCTTACAAATAATTTGACAATTAATTGGTCAGTAGCTCACAAGACGTTGCAGGATAAATGTCACTATTTAAAGGCTATCGTCTTGTTAGGAGGCAAAATGGACATGTCCTCCCTCTAGTGCATGCTCTTCGAAGGAACAGGGTTCGTGGGAAGCTGAATCCACTTAGACGGGAAGGGAGGTTTGTGACTGTGGACTCAGCCACGTGGGAACTGGAGAGATCCCTTGCTATTTAGGGACCTGAAACGCTCAACTTTCCCTTGCTGAATAACACTGGAAACACGCAGAGTTGCTGTTCTCTAATCTGCTGTTTTCTAGACTCCAGATCCAACTCTCACCTGTGTTTTTCATTTTTGTTGTTGTTGTGTTTTCAGACATGTTGGCACCAATGATAAAGCTCTGGCTTCCTTCTCAATCACAACCTAGACTCATGATTGGTCCTTCCAGCTTTCACCTAGACACCTTGACCTCTAACGTGACTGCCAGTCAGTCTCACCCATGATGTGTGCTTTTTCCTACCAAGAACAGCTATAGCAGCAACAACTAATGTTTACCGGGTACTCACAATATCTCAGGCGTAGTAACGAGTGCTTTCCATTCATGAGCTCACTCTAGTCTCCTAACAACCCTGAGCTTGTCCTGTTAATGAACCCCATGTAATGGATGAGAGCGCCAAAGTTTTGGTGGTATGTAAAATTTCCAGGAACCCATGGTAAGCTGTGACACCAGAATTGGTAGCTGCGTCGTTTTGACTTCAGACCTGGGCTTAGTTCTCAGACAATACTGCTCTCCAGGAAGAAGGTGCAGACTCCGGGACACTGAACACAGGAAGTGCTGACAAGTGGTCGATAGGGGGCACGCTGTTGAAAATGTAAGCTTGAAGATCATTGGAGTGTAATTGTTAGAGCTTCACCCATGACCAGAGAAAATGCCTCTGGAAAGAGCATAAAAAATCCGAGACCCCATTTGTGAAAATCAAGCAGTCCACACTATATTGCTCATTGGGTAACATTTTGAGAAGCACGTATTGGCTGGTGAGCCAAATGCTGAACAAGGCTCAACCGTGTACCAGGCCCTGCCCAGATGGGAAAGGCAGGCCAGAATGACTGCCGAGACCCATGCAGGGGCGCCCTGCACTGAAGGCCACAGAGAGGTCTGTGCCCTTTCAGAGGCTAGTTGCTATTGCTCAGTCTGTGGGAAATTTGTAGTGTGTAACCAAATACAAGAAGAGTATTTCTATAATTTTCGGTGTGATTCAGGATCAAGGGAAGCAATAAGCCTTCGGTGCTTATTTATAAAGGACAAGCACAAAGACTGATAACCTAACAGCTGGGGCTAGGGGTAGGAAGAGGGGATGCTTTTCAGAAAAACAATGTTCAGAGAAAAGTAGCTCTATGGCCTGTCTCTATGACCACACCTTCTTTGTTTTCTAACCGATGCCTCCAATTTTTAAACAGTGACCAAAAGCCAGCTGTGACTGGAAACTAGTGTTAGTTTGAATGAATATAAACCAAGGAGAAATGATGGGGGAAATCATAGGGAATCCCTCTCATGGTTTCACCTGTACCCACTCCTCACTCACCAAGCCCCCCAAATGTAAACCCTAACCCTGATACCTGTGGTGACAATCCCAATTGGGAAATGGTTTTCTCGGTTGGGTAGATGGGGCAGTATTAGTGCAGGGAGCATCTTGAACCAATCTCTTTGAGGGTCAGAAAGCAGAGGGAGAAGCAGAGAAGGGGGAAGACAGACACCGATCCCCAAGAAAATCAGCCAGGAGCAAGGAGTCGAAGACGAAGAGAAGCCAGCAGAAAGGGAAAACCTTCACTGCACGTGGTGGCCCGAAGGCGGGCTTTCTTCAGACTCCTAATTGAGAAAAGACAGTGCTTCGTTAAAGCCTCCAGGTGGTGTATTTCTGTGACCGCAGTATTCGATAACTAAGACAAGCGTGAAGCCTCACCTCATCGATTACAATGCGTCCTTTCAGATATCTTACAGAAATGATAACAAGCTGTCAATAATTATGACTTTATTGAGCATCTGCAAGGTGCACATCAGGGTACATAGCTTCAAAGTGCCCCATGGACTTCTGTCCCATCCCCCACAAAGCCTCCCCTGACTTCCATGGCTTCATTGCTTTTCCTCCAGAGCACACTTCCAGGACCCTGACTGGAGCCTCCACCAGGACACATGCCCAGCATCTACTGCACTGGTGCACCCCCCGACCCCCCATGAGACTGTGAGCTCCTCAAAGCGGGGGGTCTGTGCACTGTTCATCTCTGCAACCCTGGCCGGCAGCGCAGTGCTTGACTGACAGACCCCCGAGCAAATGAAGAGCCCCTTGCGTTGGTTCCTTCTCCCAAAGCCCTCGCCTGCAGTTAGCAGGAAATGCTGATGCTGAACCAGAAACCAGCACTCAAAAGGCACAACTGAAAAGAGTCGGGTCCCAAGGTGTGGCTGCTTGACCCCAGACAAGAGCATCAGCTCCCTAATCCTGAAAGGTGGCTGCCAAATCAGAGCCACGGCAGACTGTCAACCAGAGAGAGGGGGTCATACACCCCAACTCCTACCGCACAGCAGCTTTTTGGAGACAGATCAGCAGTGCAGCCACCTGCCGGGTTCCCGGCCCCTGACAGCCTGCTCCAGGGGACACAGGCGCAGTCAGCACCAGCAGTCCCCACGAGGGTCTCAGACATCGCGCCCCTCTCCCTCCTCAGATTCCCAAATGTCGCACAAAAATCAACAAGCAGAGGTGAAAAAGCCTTACGTGAAAGATGGACATCTCCATGTGGCCCTGCAGAGGCCGGGTGTGTTGTGCCCCTCGCAGGGTGTCTGGGGGCGGCGGCAGCTGAGGCGGCCTCCCAGGGGCCTTTCAGAAAGCAGATGGGTGCTATGAGGGACAAGAGAGTCCCGAGGAGACGTGGTAAAACAAGAGCTCATCATCTCCACCACACACACCCAGTTCCCTGACGAGTCAGCGCCGGGGTCTTTTTGACGACAGCAAGAATTTTGCTGTGGTTCGAGGACACAGGCGGCACCCTCACCAAGTACCTCACAGCCCAGGTGTACATGTGAACACGGGACACGTGTACAAGGCTTTAGCTCTTGAGCGGCCATCACTCGTCATGGAATTGAGCACAGACCTTGCTGCCTGGTGCCTCGGATTCCCTCCCAGAGGAAGGCTGTCACAGCGTCTCCGTGGCCACTTCTACTGGTTCCTCTCTTTCATCCAGCAGGATTCTTGGCCGATTATCCCCCACCTTCTGCAGAACGGAAGGAAGGCCACCTACAGATCTCTATGCTCGCTAATCAGCGTGTTTATAAAATACTGCTTAAGAGTATGAACTAAATCTAGTACCAATTCCCCATCGTGGATGGGGCCAGCGTTCATCCTCCCCAACCCTGCAACACGCAGCCATCAGAAGGGCAGCTCATTGGCTGCAGCTCTTCTTCGGGTCAAATCTACCGGCCTTCTGCAGCCTGAATTCTCGGGACACCTCTGGTTCTCAGCGACCACCCGATGCCCACGGTCGACACCACGTTGCCTTTCTCAACGGAGATTCGCCTGTATCGCTCTGCTGCTTCTTCGTCGCCTGCACCCTCAAGGTTGTGTTTCTACTCAGCTCTTGTCTAGCTCACAGCCGACCTTAGAGCACTTAGAAACAACGAGGCGACGCCCGGCCAGCTGCATGGAAGGCAGGGCATGTTTGGGAGATTCTGGTTTCTCCTGTTACGTTTTCAGTGCAAGACTGAATTACTCTAAAAATTGGGGATTCACTCTCAAATCGAACTTGCCTAAATAGGTGAGAGAGACAACTTCCAGCCTCAAATACACTATAAAAATTATTTTCCAAGAGGTAATCATTCTTAATCAAGAATTTTATATACAGTTTTGTTGAGTTGTTTTTGTTTTCTGTTTTGTTTTTCAGAATGACTGGAGCCATGGTTTATGTGTATGGCTCTTTTCTACATCTTTTTCTCAAAGCAATCACGTAAGGATAAATGTTTTGGGTGCTTTGTTATATTAGGTATTTGCTTGAAGTATTCAGAAGTTTATCTCGTATGTCATAGAATATGAATATTCATATTAGCCCAGCGTGTAGATCATTGATTTCAACCTTCTCAACTGGAGCTTTAATGCACACAACCAATCTGATCCAAGACTAGCTGATCTCAGGCGGCCACCCGAGGAACCCGCATGACACTGTGCAAGGGGCGAGGCACATTTGCTCGGGCCTTCTCATTGTGGCAGACCTCCTCCGGCCAAGCACAGAGCGGTAGAAGTGCTGATCGGGATTTCAAAGACAAGGGGAGCCCAGTTGAACCTGGTAACTGTGGGGATCTAAGGGACACGGGCAGTCCCCAGGTTGCAAATTCAACCTGTTCCTAAGCATGTGTCTAGAAGTCGAATGTGTAGTTAGGTGAGAACAGTTGCAGGTGGTTCTGATTTAGCGTAACTTTAAGGCAAAAAAACGTAGGGGTGGAGGGTGGAGGGTGGGGTGAAGACTTTCCAGTGATTTCAAACCTGCACATGCAGGACGTGAAGGGGGGGGGGGGACTTTGTTGTGGGGAGGCGGTAGTTCAATCATTTCAAAGTGTGAGCGGATTCACAATACTTGAAAGGATGGCTACAAATGTTCAAGTTGTCAATAAATTAGATGCCTATAGTTGATTTTCTAATCCCAGCCTAGAAAGTGATTTCAGTAGACAGACACAGTGTGTGCTTCACCAAGTTTAGGTGGGTTGATGAGCTAAAAAGCAGCAATGGCTAAAGAGCGGGCCAAGGACGTTGACTTGCCTTTGGCTCGAGTTTCAGGGAATCGTAAGAACAAGACTCATTTCCTCTTTTCTCAAAGACCCTCCGGTTGAAGGTTCTCTTGTTTCTGACTATCCTTTTCCCTCTGCGATTCTTATGGGGATAACCCAGAACATCTCAGGGCTCTTCTATATCAGAGTGAATAGCTGAAGCTACCAATGGCTTGGAAGTTCACACGTAGCACTGGAGGTACGCAGCACACATAGCCCTACCCTGGACATTGCTTTTGGGTCAAGTCTAAGTTGTACCTTCTTCCTTGGCAAAAACAGGCCAACGCCCTCACTGAAGGCCAAATGTAAGAATTAACTCAACAGAAACCCCATTGGAAAGATAAAACCTTCCAGACTTCTCTCTGAAAATAAAATAAAATTCATTCTGGCTGAACACTATTCATTTTGGGTTTTTGGTTCTATAACTCCCCAGAATTTTCTAAAGTAACCCTATAGCCGATCTGTTTGCAGATACCCAAAGCAACTTGAAACAGACCACCCATGGTGCCGAAAGCAGTGTCCAAGAGCAGAGAGACAGTGCCACCAACACCCACAGCGATGTCCCTGCACACAATCGGAATGGCGCTCATTGTATACACAGGGAACATGGCCACATCCACGAGGACTCGGACAGGGATGCCCAGAACACGGCAAACCGCCTTCAGCAGGCAGCACAGGATCCGGAGAACGGCCCTGATGATCCTGACGAAGACCTTGAGCACTTTCCAAGGAATGCTCACCAACTCCTCGCCGATGGCTAGGAAGTATGAAATGGCAGCTGAGCCCAAGCGGTAAAGGCAACCTTCTATGCCATTGATCACCAGCTTGGTAACGAACCACAGGAAAAAGAGCAGGTACTTCAGGACTCCAACCACCAGGTAACAAATCCATTGGAAAAGCTTGATATACGGGGTAGCGATAATGCTTATCAGTTTTCTCAACAGGCTGCTACTTTCCTCAGGCGCCTCTGGTGGCAACAGGTCAGCCGACCTCTTGCTCTTGGTGCTGGAGAGCGGGACGGCACTCTCTTGAGAGAGCAGCACCCGCTCCTCATCCTGGACTCGATTGACCATTTCCAGGATTCTCTTCATCTTCTCTGTGTCTTGCTCCGCATCACCACAGTTGTTCTGAAACAGCTGGGGGTGCGATGGAAGCAGTTTCTCCAGATCTTTCACCATCACATCTTCTATGACATCACCACCCCCCGCGTGCTTGACAAAGCCCATAGCCCAGCCTCCGGGGCTGGCACAGCAGGCTGCCAGCCAAACAAACTCAGGCACCGCCACCTTGCCTTTCACCCTGTGGTCTGAGGGCACTGCGCCCGCGATGAGATAGAGGTCTTCGCCGTTGCCACACTGTGGGGCTAAGGCCCGGTCCATCAGGCTGTTGAGATTCATGTACCAGCGCTCCCTGAAGGATGAGGTCATCGGAACGGCGTTTGTGAGCGTGAACGTGGCCATGTGGTCATCATGGCTAAGAGGGAACGGGTACAGCTGTCCTTTTTGATAATCAGACTCCAGGTAATCGGTATTCAGGGCTTGCTTGCTTCCCAGATTGCTCACCACGGTGGTGGCATCGGCTTCATCCATCATCTCCTCGAGACTGCTGCTGGGGTCATCGATCTGAAAGAAGAGAACAAGTGTTGAGATGAGCCCGCTGTTCACAGCAGAGAGGATGCACAGGAACATTCTGCTGGGGTGCCAGAGAAGTCTCTGCTGCACGCTAGCTTCTAATAAAGGCTAGGTCTCTGGTGCAAGGGCTAGTCATCCTAAATAGCCCACAATCCTTGTGGTTTCCCCCTGCATTTACCCCATCCCTATCGGTGCACTGCACCACTCACCTACCACAAGCATGGACACACAAACACGCTCCCTGACACTCATTTTTGATCGGCTGTGGCTTTATGAATTTCATCATTCGTTTTTACAATATTTTCCCCATAAGAGTCATAGTACATGCAAATGTGAGAACAAACGGAAAGCAAAGGTCAACATGCCCAAAGAAATCAGGGACACTTACACATTGTGGGCTGTAAGAAAAGTAACTGCAATTGATGCCATTAGTCCCCTGGAGGAAAGCGGATGGTTGGAGGCAAGTTACGGGACACCAGCAGGGCAGGCGACAATTCAAACTGGAGCAAGAGCTGCTCGAACTTAACCTTTCCAAGACAATTGCTATTACTAACAATTTCTTTTCATTCTTGGCCCATCTAGATAAGTGTTATATAGCAGTTGTAATCAATATATACATCCTTGTTGGTTCTCCCATCCATTTTTAATGTACATTTTAAAATTCAGCAGCACAATATATACTTTCACTTCACCAATCTGAAAGGACAAATAGTTAGGATAAACCTAGGTCCTCAGGTGGTACAGAGTTCACATGCTCAACTGCTAACCCCAGAGGTGCCTCAGAAGACAGGCCTGGTTTTCGACTTCAGAAAAAGCAGCCACTGAAAATCCTAGGGATCGCAGCTTTCTACGCTGACACTCACGGGGTCACCACGGCATCGTGGGAATGTGCTGGGCTGCTAAGCAGTTCAAAACCACCAGCTGCGGCTCAGGAGAAAGACAAGGCTTTCTACTCCCATGAAGAGTTATAGTCTCAGAAACTCACAGAGGCACCTCTACGCTGTCCTATAGGGTCGCTATGAGTCAATTTACCTTGATGGTAGTGAGTGTGTGGCTTTTGGTTTAGATAGCACCCATTTTTGTTTGTTGATTTATGTTTTAATTTACCAAACTAGACTATAAACTCCTTGAGACTGGGGACCATGTGTTTCTGCAAAAGACCCAACCGAAATCCAGGCTGACATGCACCAGGAGCTCAAGGCACTCTTATTAACCGCCTGGCCCTAAGCTAGCCATCAGATCAGAACTCATAGTAACAGGCTGTCAACCCAACCCACGTCTTCAGAAATGGGGAAAGGTAAAGCACATGGTGCTATATCCATCAATATCTCAAAGCCGTTAAAAAGAGAGAGCGATTATGAAAAGCTGGAGGTGATGGGGAAATAATGTGGTACAGTGGCAAACGGGCTGTGAATTTCCCAGTTCTGCAATGGGAAACATGGGTGCGCTCGTGCCTGTTTGTTGAAACCTATTGCTGCTGAGTGGATTCTGATTCAGAGGGACCATCCAGGACAGAGTACAGCCATCCCCTATGGTTTCCAAAGCTGTAGGCTGTAAGTCCTCACATGGGAGTCATGGATGGTGGCATAGTGGTTATGCATTGGGCTGCGATGCATAAGGTTGGCAGTTTGAAGCCACCAGCAGCTCTTTGGGAGAAAGATGGGGCGTTCTACTCCCATAAAACAGTTACAGCCTCGGAAACCTACCGGAGCTGTCTTACCTGTCCTATCGGGTTGAGACGAGTCTGTGTGGACTCCATGGCTGACTTGGGGTTTCTATGGGTGGTGGTAAGTCTTTACAAAAACTCATCACCAGGGAGAGTGGAGGGAGAGTGGGTAGGAAGGAGGGAACCGATTACAACGGACTGTATGTGACCTCCTCCCTGGGGGACGGACAACAGAAAAGTGGGTGAAGGGAGACGTTGGACAGGGCAAGATATGACAAAATAACAATTTATAAACTATCAAGGGCTCATGAGGGATGGGGGAGCGTGGAGGGAGGGGAAAAATGAGGACCTAATGTCGGGGGTTTAAATGGAGAAGAAAATGTTTTGAGAATGAAGTAAAAATGCGCTTTACACAATTGATGTGTGTATAGATTGTGATAAGAGTTGTATGAGCCCCTAATAAAATGTCTTAAAAAAAACAAAACTCATCACCAGGCCTCATTCGTCCTTGGGATCAGCTAGTGGGTTCTAACCACTGATCTTTCGGTTAGCAGTCAAGTGCTTAACCACTGTGCCACCACGGTTTCCTTGTGTAGGGGTAAGAAGGGCAATGGGTGAGCAAATAACTGTGACAGCAGAAGCGTTGCCCAGAGCCTTACAGGGAGCCATACCTAGGCTTCCCTGACTGTCACTCCATCCCTTCCTCCAGCCTTAGAGTGAACAGTGATCTGAGATGCTCTCCCCACCCCACCCCCTTTACAGAAGGTCAGTCAGCCAGGAGCGTCTGCCTGTGCTCTCCTAGATGGATAGAGCCCAGGTGAGGGGGAAAGTCAGGCCCAATTCCACCCCATGCCCTGTGCGCCTCCCCACCCCGGCTCCGGCTCCCTGGCACAGCGCAAAGTGAGTAGCGTGCAGGCAGAGGCCACTACAGCTTCGCTTCCCTCTCCCTGCTTTCTCTAGAGCCCCGTCCCCATCGGCCCAAAAAGGGCCCTAGGGTTTGGTGACAAGATGAAACAGCGCTTGAAATCAAGACAGGATGCTTGGATACTATACATGCAGGGTGCTAGAATGTGGAAGGTTTGTCAGGAGGTAGGGGGAGTGTCAGGATTAAGATTTTTTAAAATACCAATTCAATAGTTTCAATATAACATTATACGCGAAGTATTTTACGGATGGAAAAACTAAGGCACGGAAAGATAAAAGTAACTTTCTCAATGTCAGTCACCCCATAATTAGTGGCAGTCACAAGGTTTAAACTGAGATCAATCATTTTTCCCTCAAAGTATACTTTTGTGTTCGTTTTATTAACCCATACTCTCTCCAGATGGTGGTCTTGGGGTTGGATATTGGGCTATTAGCCACAAGGTCGGTAGTTCAAGCCTACCACCTACTCTTTGGAAGAAAAATGAGCCTATCTTCTCACAGAAGTATGTAGTCTCAGAAACCCTGTACCGGGATGCTGTGAGCTGTAACCCACGCAAAGGCAGTTGCTTTGCTTTGTTTGGGGCATATGAATTATAAGCAGAGCCTGGTGGTATTATAGGATAAACCTGGAGCTGCTCATTTAAAAGTTGGCAGTTCAAACCCACCAGCCACTCCATGGGAGCAAGAAGAGGCAGTCTGCACCCAGGATGATTCACAGTCTCAGATCCCCGTGGAATAGTTCTACTCTGTCCTACAGGACCAAAGGGGTTGGAATCGATTCACTGGCAGTGAGTTGGGTTGGGCTGATATGGATTAATGACTATAATTTTCTCTGATCTATATATCATGAAGTTCCCTGAGGTTGCAGAGAGGGAACTTGACATCTGGCTCCCCTGGAGCTGCAGTGCCCAGACTGAGGAGGGAATGGGAAGGAAACAACGAGTGCATGTACACACGGGCCTTCATGCTCAGCGTGGTAGCTTTATGGCAGCTGGCTAGCTTTATGGCCCGGAGACGGGCAGCACAGCCACGCATTTTCCAGGGTATCAGAGAACAAAACCCTTTGATGTGGACTTGACTGCCCTGTGTGCTACAGAGTAGACCTACTCCAGCTCTACCCTCGTGGCTGGAGTTGTTATGAAAGCAGAGTACTATCCCACGGAACCACCAGCCTTTCAGTTAGCAGCCAATTGCCAACGAGTTGCTGTCCCAGGGTCCTCTTAGTGCATTCTGAGTCTTGGGGATGGTTAGCTGGCCAGTCCACAGGAGCTGCTGTCCCTGTTTACTAGGAACACTTACAGCTCCCTTGCCCTCTTTTCTGCAGGGCAGAAGAGAAAAGTAAGCACCCAAGCTCAGCAAGCTCTGCTGGGGAACAACTGTAAAATGGTCCTCCCACCACAATCCCCTCCACGCCCACTCCACAGAGCCCCGTAAGACATTTAGGGGAAAGGCCCTATGCAGTCAAGGTAACCTAGGTAAATTGTATAGCTTAATGGATTTAGATTCTTCCTTAAGATGATTTTAATGAGGAGCTGATACCAAGGACTCAAGTAGAAAGAAAATGTTTTGAGAATGATTAATGGCAACAAATGTACAAATGTGCTTGACACAATGG